GAATGCGCCGACAACCCCAGTTCAGTAAGCGACTATATACCATGTGCTCTTCATAGCCCTGAGAAAAATCACTTACAAAACTGTAATGCAGTAAAACGTGTACAAATTCCACAGATCAAACATATTTTGCTTAACAAACAGTAAGTGCAGTGAACTTGGGATGACCAGGGCAAATGACACAAAAGAAAATGAGAAAAATGCAGGATTTGTACTACTGGAAGCATCTCAAAACAAGGCTGGTGCCGCATTACGTAGATTGTATGAAAGTAGTAGACAGGTTGTGTCAGTCTGGAAGTATAAATACATACCAGAGATGACAGAAAAAAAAAAACAAACCCCAAACATGAAGAACCTCTTTCACTGAAGCGCTTGCTCTCAAATCCAGAACCTAAATCGCTAAATAGACTCACAGACAAGCTGGGGTTTGCAGGGATTTCTGGAGATTGTCTAGCCCTGTGCCCCTGCTCCGGCATGGTCAGCAGACTTCCCCAAAGGAGTCCAGTTGCTCTGAAGGAAGAACAGTATCACTGTTTTTGCCTTTTTTCCAAAACAATATAATGTTTAAGCATGTATTTTATGATAATTTAAATCACATTTTGGTGAATTCTCAGGCACTGTACTGAAGATCACAATCACTGTTTTTTCTGTCCTGATACAGGTTTTTTCAGTACTACACAACAGTTTTCTGGCTAACAGTGTCAGTACTGTACAAACACAGTAGTGCAAGGGAATGGATATGGTGGAGTTTACAAATAACTGAAGATCACAACATTTGGGGTAGGGATTGTGTCCCTGTTTCTGTTAAGAATTGTCACTTTCATCCTCAAGATAATTACAGTATCTTTTGTGGAGTCAAAGTTAGGTATTATTTTAAATATGTGCAGAAATTGAGAGACCTTCAGAATTCAGAAAATACAACCACCGCCATCTGTGTTGTCATCATCTTCTTGAAACAAACTCAAAGCCCTGATGAAGATGCAAAATAGAAGCAGTTACAGTAATAAGACACGAAGAAACAGTGTGGAATAATTTCTAAAAATGGAATCTTAGCATAGACCGGGGATACATGTAACACAGGAAGAAGTAACGTCCATCTCTAGAGAAACAGGTAGCGAGCAGTAACAGGCAGGCAACCACGTGAAGCAGTGCTTCAGCGAAGGAGAAACTGAGAACCGAGCTACAAGCGTGCTGAAAAACCAGAGGGAAGTAGTGTTTTCACATACAAAGTCCTTGATCTGGTCCTCAAGAAAGAACCCACCATGCTCACACCACCAGGGTGGCAACCAGCAGCTACAAAAATTAAAATTTAAAAAAAAAAATAAAAAAAAATAAAAAGGGGGAAAAAATGGCATGCAGGGACTACTGTAACAAAATGGTTTTGTTTAAAATGATTTTAGACACAGAGCAACTAGTCATCACCTGATTAGAATGCAACATATGTTCCATTAGACAGAGCTACCAAACGTCTGTACACTCAGCTGCAGTGGGATAATAAGCTCCCATTTGCTATAGGCACTGTGTGTTCTTTTCCTTTTACTTCTAGTGCCAATTAACCTCCCTGTTATTAAGAAAATTGAGCTAAAAGTGGAAGACAAACACACTCATTTGCAACACTGAAGAAACAAGATCCTTTTACATTCGCTCATTTCTTCAAATGTGTTTTTTACTTCTGAAGCTCTTTTAGATACAGTGAAATAAATTGAACCTTCCTCCTAAATTATCGTTTCCCAAACTTCTCAGGCAGAAAACCCACGCGACTCTCGCAGGCGCCTTACGGGGGGGCTCCTCTCCTGCAACTGCGTCTCCTTGGAGTCTGCATTCCCACTGTAGGCTGTGACCTCTGATTTGGGTCCACCACCCTAAATCCTGCTACTGGAGATAAACACGTGACTTTGCATATACTCTCTAAAAAGCAAAGGGTATTTTCTCTGACAAAGATTTTAAAAAATGCCCAAACACTTCAGAGCGTGAAGAATCCAGTACTCCTGTACTGAGCATTTAAATGCACGTAAGCGATCCAAAGTAGCAGACAAGAAAATTCACCCCCAATTAAAGATCACCCAATTCAAACAACCAAAGGAAGTTACTCCCCTCACAGCTCCAAAAACAATCCTCGTTTGTTTCTCAGGTGGAAAACCAGGAACAAGCTCAAAGAGCAGCTGAGATACTCGAGGCCTGCGTGAGAGCAGCGCCGCCGCTGCGAGCTCGCGGGGGTTACCTGCTCGAGGGGTGACGGCGTAGAAAGAATGAAGAAAGAGCAGTTCAGCTGGCTGGGGGTGAGAGGTCGCAGGTTGTGCAGTGTTGGGAATGCTATAAACCACGGTGATCTTCACCCAGTTTAAAGGGAGAACAGCCTGCCATACCCTAATGGGGTTATACTGGATGTTTCATACACGAGAGAACACAAAATGGAATTTGCAGAATTACCAGGCTTCTGCCGATGTCTCTCAACCCCAACAAGCACAAGCAGCCGTGTATCTCTGTTCCAACCTGTGCTCAGCTGACATCGTCTTCCGACTGCAGTCAGAGGCACAGAGAGAACTGCTTGGTACTTACTTGCTCTTGCAGAAGTTTGGGGTTTTTTTCTATTTTTCTCCCAACCTGAGTTTACAACCCAGTTCCTGGGCTGTAACATACGTGTACTACCAGTGTTCTGCACTCGGGACGCACCATCCTTGCTGCAGTGTACACCACCAGAGCAAGGCGACACTTTCCAATGTCAGAAAGAAAGAAGGAGGTGGTTTTGGCTGTACAAACAGTCAGAACTAAGCTTTGGGTTTTCAAATAAAGAGCTAAAGGAATGTGCAAGATTTAAGCAGTCTCTGCATACGTGGTACAAAGGCAATCCAAGGTGAACCCCGCTCAGGTCACGGACTTCTGCGATGGGATTTTCTGTGCTAGATCAAAATTTGAAGAACACATTTTATGTTTGCAGGCAGAGGGCTGTGACGCCCGTAATCACGCGGTTATAGACAAGAAGCAAGGCATTTTGAATAATCACAGGCAAAATGAGTGAAAATATCCAGGAGACCCTGCATCCCGGTGCAGCCCTCACGGCTCCCTGTTGCTAACAACACTAAGGTTCCCAGACTTTTCTGGGAGCTTTTTTTTTTTTTTTTTTTTAAAGTTCCATTTTATGCACGGAAATTAAAACAAAAATCCATTCGCAACAACTGGCAGCAAAATACTGTTCTGAGACATAATCGGCCTCAACAGAACAGCCCAATCCGTGTCTGCTCCTGCATTTGACAGACCAGATTTTCCTGGGGCAGATTACGGTAACCTTTGCTCGTTCGTGTTGCCTATATTTGGATGCACGAAGTGTGTTAGCTCAGAACTTGTCGGGGCTTGTAGACTTGCAGAAGAGTTCTTTGGACTTCGTCCCTGGGCTGGCTGGAAACTCAGAGGGAGGCTTGGAAGCAAAGGAAGGAGAGCAGTTAGGAGATCAGAGTGGCAGAATGGGGCAGGCTGCCCAGCACCAGTCTCTACAGAGGCACAGATCCCTTCTTGCATAAAACGTGCAGTAAATGGCACCGGGAATTACAGCTTATTCCTCGAACCAAAAGATGTTTTGAATGTTTAATGGCTTACTACAGTTGCCACAGAAGTTTGTGCTTAGTTCGAAGCATACTGCAGTTTTCCTGGACATTCTTGTATTTTTCTCTGTATTGTTTGAAAAAGGACATTCCAGCTTCCTATAACTACCTCCTAGAAAGGAAACGCTAGAGCATTATAGGTGGTGCGCTGGCCCAGGTGGCCCAGGTGGCTAGCACACCTTTTAAAATCAGGGCCTCAGTAACACAATCTCACTGGCATCAGGGGGACATCAAAATGAGGCCTCTCCTCATTCACCTCAAGACAAACTATTTCTGGCACAGGGCTTTACTTCTTTTAACAAACGTTTTCCAAAATTATCTTTGCATAATGATCAGCACAGAGATGAAACAACCGAGGAGGGGCAGAAAAGCCTAAATCCCTCAGTGATATGCACATCAAACTCGAGAAACTGGAGCAGCAGTTGTTGCATCTCTCCGAATTCAGAAGGCTCCTACCACAAGAAATAAGAACCTAACTTGTTAAAGCAATTTTTATTTAAGTATTTGGAGGGAAACTTTCATATCATGAGTAAAAATACTAGAGTTGAATGTTGTTAAAAAAAAAAAAAAGTCACAATGATGGGCTCTCTGTGCAAACACAGCAGTTTCTGATGGAAAGGGGAAGTAAGGGTTTTCATAACATACTCCCTTTCAAATAAAAAAATTAAATGCTAGTTAACTGCAGTACATGTCACCATTTTTCATACAGTCAAGAGAATGAAAAACAAAAAAAAGGCAATTTAAGAGAACGCAACCTACAATGGAATAAATTCATTTGCAGCAGAGACAGAGTAAGACTGCTTTTATGAAAATTACAAAGAAACATGATACAACAAAAATAGGGTGTGGGGAATTTTCCACTAAGATTAAAAATGAAAAACAAAAAAAAAATTCACTTTTTGAACACCATTATTATTCAAACACATATGAAGTTTCAACCTAGTTTTTTTCTTATACATGGGAAACACTGTTAAAGTGAATCTTCGAGAGTGAGAAGGCACCATGAACTGTTGGCTGATACCTTTAATGCACACTCAAGAAAGAAGAAATGATCTGGCATGATGCAAAAAATCATTAAGTGTTTATATATATTCATATATCTTTCCATAAAAAAAAAAGCGGCAACAAGTCATTACTTCAGTGCCAAAATGTACTTCTGTCTGGCTGACTCGCTTACGAAGACGATTTCTCGCTTAGACCTGCATGGTGGTTTTATGCAGTGGTGGAGGTGGGTGATTTTGCACTGTTGCATTTTGTATTAGATTGGTAAATCAAGCGTTTTCTAGGTTCTGAGAAGCCAATCCTATGAAGTATTCCTAAACTCTATGCAAATGGAATAACTCAATGCACTGTCTCGACCGGAATACTCATCTGTATGACGTGGCAATTCCACTGGATTCAGTTTGATATGTAATGTCTTGTAGCAGATGTTATAACAAAAATAACTTTGCTTTTTGATTTACCTCACTGAGGCCATTAATGCTGTTCCTATAGTTGGTTTTCTGGAGTTGGATGACACTTCACTGCTGTCCAAAATGAGTTTGAACCTTAACCCTCCAGAGTTTGTTCACTTTGTTGCTTATATTATTGCACTAGCTACTAAAGTCTTATATCTTCCTATATAAATCTAATTGTTCAGAGTGCAGATTCTATATTTAGATAATGAACTGTATGAAATAAATAAAATAAGGGGATTTTCTGGTCAGAGTTGCTGATATGTTGAATACCTTAATTATTTCTAAAGTAAACAGTTTTGGTGTATATTCTTAAAAACCTATGGTCATTCAGCATAAAAGCCTTGACGTAATACTTTAAGAATGGATTTGTTTTCCTTCTCAAAAATGCATCAAAGAATTGTTTTAAATACAGAATCTGTGAGGCTTCCTACAAATTCACCTAAATCGTAATACAAACACAGTTTGTAATTCAGATAATATAGAAAGTTCTCTAGTGTCCATTGAAGTAAGGTCCCCAAAATGCAGTCTGTTTTGTTTCTGAATGGGCAAACATTGCAAAACATTAAGCGGTTCCACTGGCTGAATAGGAGAACTGAGGAAAATGAGGTCTTCTCTCGTTATCTACACAATCCATGCTGTCATCTGGAAAACGAAAAAAAAAAAAGCAAAACAGTAGACAACCTTTGCTACCTTTTTGATTTTAAATAAACAAGCAATAACATAATGACCGGTAAAGCTACTTCAGAAAACTTCACTGTCACCTTCTTCTTCCGCAACTTGCAAGGACAAAGAAACAGGAAGTCTTAAATCTCCCCCCATTAAATGGGCATCACAGAAGATGCTGATGGTTGTATGCAAACGCTTGTTCGATGCTCATTTAAAATTGCACGGAGCTGCGTTGCTTAATTCCATACCCAGTGTCCTGAATTTCTGGCGATTGCTATTTCAATGCATCAAACACGCTCGGTTACCATGAAAATAAAATGTACTTTGATTGAACATGAGCGTTAGTCCATACTCGATTGGCTGCCTGCGTACACAAAGCGTGTGTGCAGATGTGCACATGCAAAACTCATGAACAGAATTATTTTCCAGTGGGAACGTACAGATTTGGAAAAAACAACAGTACAAATAATTTCACTGTCTTTTAAAACAGGTTTTTCCTCTCCCAAACTGGAAAGACAAGTGGAAAGTTTCACATCAATTTACCAACTTCTTGGTCAAATACATAAATGGAAAAACCAGCAAGTTTAACCTGATGCTTTCTCACACGGTCTAAAGAGACCAGGTAACGTTACAACAAAGTATTTCTGCTGGTCTGGAAAACAGAGTTTGAAACATTTGGGAAAACTTTACCTTGGTCAGGAGGAGTGATTGTTATCATCTGTGCTGTAAATTCTTCATCAAAGTATCTTGTATCTGTTTCAGATGTAACTTGTGGCTTAAACAGAGGTACAAGCTATGAAAATATAAAACAAAACAAAACACTGTCCATTTACAGGTTCTTGCAGTACTGTTGGGAACAGGCAGAAGTTTGGAACAGAGTTCTAAGCTACAGCGTCTTTTCCTACATTCCCAAAATAAGTTTAAAAAACGGCAGATCATAAAGAAGGAACCATATACAGTAAAAAAGTATTTATGTAGGTGTGCACTTCCTATTTTTGGGGCTCTTAAGGCATTTTGTCTCTAGGATTTAATCACACAAAGAAAAACCTAGAATCCTATCATATCTTCAAGTAATAAATAACATGCTTACAAATGTTTAAAAATAATAGTATATACTTGTTCCCCACCTAATTATATAGAAATCGTCAACTGCATCTAGTCAGATTTATGCTTGAGAAGGATGAAAATGAGTAAGAAAGATGCTTGATGATACCAAACTGATCAGCTAGCCTTGCGTATCACCACAAGGGTTGTGACGTTCACAGAAGAAGTTCAGCCACAGAGCTACTGTTCCCATGCAGCTCTGACTGCAACCGTGCTGTAGGTCTGACCAACCCGGGAGAATTTAGGACAAGGCAGCAGCAACATTAAGCTTTTATACTCCCAGTCCCCAAAAGCAGTTCGGTATCAACTCCAAACTTAGAAAATCTGGAGCGCTCACAAAAAACCGAGCACAATTAGCAGCGAACATCCCCCTCTTGTTACACCACGGCTCGCACTATTTGGGTTTTATTCTTGACGCTCACTTGGGCAGAAGGCTAGGAATCATCCATGTGTACCTAGGCAAGCTCTGGCAAGAGGAACTCCAGATGGAGCGGAGCTGCTTGACTGGGGCTGGAGGAGGAGCGTGCCTGGGAAGCGGGGTGGCAGAGCTGGTTGCATACAGATGCACAGAGTTGGAAGACGTACAATTTTGGAGGGCAACGGAGCTGGGATTCAGGCCTCGCTCGCCTCCCCGCTGCACAATGCGGTAGAAACGGAATGTAAATACTGCTCTCAGCCCTCCCACAGAGGACATGTAATAGCTCTCGGCGCTGGGCTTCAGTTCGCCCACCCCTGGGGTTAAGCATGGACATCTTTTAATAGCACAGAGCCACACCAGGCAACAATTTAGGAGCGTGATTGAGGAAGTATATGGCTTCCAAGCTGAAACTGCAGGGAAAGGTTTATCAAGGCAAATGGTAAACTGCTCCAACTGGAATTAAGCAGTGACCCCAAGACTTGCACTTCTGCTCTTAAAGAAATAAGAACGACACCGACAGAAATGACTACCTGGGAAACATCAGCAAATCTTGATGCACAAAACAACTCTTCCCCACCCTCAACTTTTTGTCCAGCTTAGATCTGAAGAATCATTTCCTTGCTAAGCTGGTAAATAAGAAAAGCACTAGCTTCAAGCTCCCTATCACCAGGATCATCTTTCTGATCTGTTTTGAGAGTACCTAACCAAGTGTTGTCCTGTCTTAGAAACAACTAGCCAATGAAGCTCCTTCACTTTTGGTGTAAAGACTTTAAGAAATGTAATCTACACAAATACGGTAGCATTTCCAAATACAAAGAAAGATTTACTGTTTAAAATCAATCCTTAAAAATTAAGGGACATAAAAATTCTGTTCATTGTAAGATAGCACAATCAGAGTATACATTCATCACCATTTTTTTTTTAAATACTAACGATCCTACGTGCCCAAGGATGGCTTAAAGGAGCCTGGCAAATGTTCCTGTCAAAAAAAATTAGGTCCTTAGAAGTGGTCTTTATGTCCTGAATTCAAAAAGGAAAAGGAAACAGGATATCCCAAAGTCATGGGTCACTGAGCCTCACAGTCCTCCTGAAGCTACTGAAGAGGGAGTGCTTCACATTATAATTTTAACACCACTATTCTCATTCAAGTCATACCAACATATCATATGTAAAAACCCCGTTGAGGATGAGCATGCTTTCTTTCACATTTTAACTCTATTTTCTTGCTCCTTACAGCAGTTTTCTGCCTACCCCTTAAAGTGAACCTTGGTTTGTTTTTGACACGCTGTGGGTGCACGCCTGTGTGAAGTTCTGTCTGTCCTTTTAAGCTAATGGTGGTTTTGGCTCTCGCAACGCTCCCAGTTGCTCTGCTCTAGCTTGCTGTGCACAGCACAGAGTGATTTAGGACTTGGGCACTGCAGCAGACACCTGAACTATGCACATCAGAACGACTTGGAGCAGCAATCCTAAGTCAGAATGCACATGGAATGGGCTGGTGCTGCCTGTATCATTTTCCCTTTTATTTTAGTACCTGTTAAAAGCAATTTGAGACAGATTATGATGCACCCACAAGACTTTTTTTTTTCCTCCTAGCTGTCAAATTCAGAACATTAAGCTGGAAACAGAGGGGAAGCCACAGAAAGCTCTTAACGCTGGCTTTACCAAGCAAATATGTTGCTTTACTGAAAAGCTGTCACTGCGATAGCTCTGCAGTTCAACTGGCAGAGAGGTGCCACCTGTAGCCTCCCACTGCTGCAGACCAGCATGATACCCGCAGGCTTATGTTGGTTTAGAGAAAAAAAGACCAGAGAAAAACATGTGATTAAAATCTCATTGTGTGTGTTTCACTTGTGGGTGGGCAAAGTACTGCAAATTAAATTGCACCTTTCTTTGCACCAGAGACAGACAACAACACTCTTCCAAGAGGGTCTAATGAATATTTTAAATTCTTGGGACAACCCCAGTTATTCAAGACTCCTTATAATTCAAAGCAAAGCTATGTTTCCAAAAAGCTTAATTGCAAAGTAAGTGTTCTCGATTACCCCAAGCCAATACTCATAAGCATATTCACCATTATCTGGAGATAGCGGGTAACCAAGCTTAGCACATAAACACCCCTAGGCAGCGGACAAAATTCAGCTTTTATCCATGAGACTGCACTTCAGGCAAATGCTGCAAGATCCTCTTTGGACCACCCACAACATAGGCAGCAATTACTCACAGGCCTTTTGAAATCTCTTCATTTTCACAGCACGGATATTTCAGATGCACATACTAACGGGACAGGAGCAAAACCAGAATCTAGCCTCCTTGGATATGCCAAAGTTTCAGAAAGAGTCTCAATTAGCACACTGTTTTCTCCAAAATATGTAACATTTGGAATTTCCTGGTAGTTTCCACAACAATCTGAGTCAATACTACTACGGGACAATTTATGAAGGCTTTCTCAGTCCTATGGATACATAAAGTGCCTCCAGCTTAATTTCTCCTCCATTCAGGGAACCAGGACTAACATCAAATAGCAAATAACTTCACTGAAGACATTTCAGCCCTGTTATCAGCTTTTTACCTTAAACTACAAAAAAAAAAAAGGCAAAAACTCCAAGTATTCAGCTTGTCAGCTGGGTCAAAATGGGGATAAGCTCCTGCTTAGAACAGTAATTCAGATATCCTTTTTACATTATACTGAATAAACTCCACACAACTCCCTCCTGCTCTCCTGACCGCACACAGCTCTCTCTCAAGGGATGCTTCGAAAGGACAGAGGTCTCAACTCTACACTTTCAAGGCACAAGAACTTACTTTATGATTTTTCAGTTCCCTTTAGCCACACAAATCTGTGAGGAAGTGAAAGAAAAGGAAACAGAGCACTCTTTGTAATTGTATACAGGCACTGGGCAATCCTCCCACTACAGTATGGAAACTAGCGGCGTTATGCTCTGTTTTTTCAAGAACACAAATATTCCCAAAAGAGCACTGTATTAGTTTTACCAAAAAAAATCTGAAGAATTAAAACCCAGTTTCTACTAACTTTTTTGCCTGCTCCCACCAACTGCAGGGAGAGCTGAACTGTATTTAGAGATCAAACGAGATCTGGTATCACGAGGGCCTACAGGGGGAAGGAGGGAAACTGGGAAAGGCTGGGACCGAGTGAGATCATGTGGCACCAGTAGATGGGAGCCTTGAATCACCAGACTCACATTTTAGTTGGCCGCATTTCACATGAGTGTTATGGAAAACGTGGCTGGTGAGAAACAAATGGGAGAGGACAACAGCAGATCGCCCTGAGAGGATGAAGCAGGGCATCTTGGAATAAGTTATCTGTGAAGGGACAGTGAGGGACAAACAACTGATGAAACACAGTCATACAGAAAGGGATAGGCTCTTTGACTTCAGCAGCTCCCACGGGAAAGCCTACAAACTCAGTGGGTCTCAAGAAAATACAATGAGAAACACCACGAAGTGCAGACACTTCACATCAGCTGTCACAAAAAAAAAAAAAAAATTAAAAAAATTAGGCTTGGATTGATGTAAAAGACAACACTTCTCTGCATTTGCCTATTCAGTCTAATTTCATCATTCAAGCCAGGAAAAATGCAAAGGGAACAAACAGCCCATCTTTTGCTACTGTTTCTAGGAAGTTTTCCTTCAGATGCTCAGGAACCAACAATAACTCCTGGGCTCGCAAGGGATCCATCAGTTGATAGCAAGGAATGGCAATAAGAATTCACAGGAAAAGCCATTTTAAAAGCTCTCTATAGTGTCTAAATTTGGAAGCAATTTTGGTTACATCTTATTTATTCAGTCACAGAATCAATTATTTCATTGAGAAACACTCCTCTCATTGCAAAAAAAGCTTTGGTTCAGAAGTAATGCAATTACAGTATTTTAAGAAACATGAAGCAATTTATCCTTGTTAAAAACAACTGCAAACTTCTGCAGAGGGCTTTTGTGTGCCTTACAGAGGGCAACAAAATTTGAAACATTCAGTACATCCACAGCTACAATTCACCTTCACAGACTAGTTGCATAAGTACCTTTTTCTCGTATACATCTTGCCAAACAATGCCAGCAAAGAACTTGTGCTGCATAATCTCCTTGGCATCATCAGGACCGCCACCTAACCTGTTTGAGGCAAGATAAGTAATTAAATGTTTGAGTACAGTTATTTTTCTCATACAATTTTTCTTAAACGGTAGTGAAGAAATTCTGAGTTTATATAATACATTTGGAAGCAGTTCTAGTGTTTGCTTCATATTTGGTTTTTGTGCAAGGCCTGCAGGATAGTCTATTTTAGGTTTCAACACAGTTCCACTAAAAGATTTTAAAACATGCTAACAAACATAATTAGAATAAAGGTCTCTCAAACAAAGGAAAAAAAAAAAATCATCACAATTCAAAAGGCCTGCCCTTCAGGAAAGATGCTGTCCTAGGGACCACAGCAGATCCTGCAAGTAAAAGGTCTAAGCCACACACCCTTCTCCCTTCCCTAAATTAACAAGTGACTACTCCTTACAATTTTCTAGAGCAGAGTGATGCCAGCAATAAAACTGAATTTGATTTTGAAGTGTAAGAGGGGCAAGCATTTTTAAGACAAACTGATTTATGCAACACGATTTAAATTTTCATTAAAGAAAACGTTTGACAACTGCAGTGATAATATCATGTCGTATGCAAATCTCTCCTCCTCCTCAGCTTCACGAAAGCACAAAGGGTGTTTTATTGACTTAAGGTATATCAAGATAAAGCACTTTTATTCTGAAATAAAACTGTCCACACAGCTTATAGATGCAATCAGTTTAGCTGCAGTCTTGAGCTAACAGATGCTTAAATTTCGCTGTGGAGGTTAAAAAGTTCTCTGAAAGACTGAACCACATCTGCAAGCAAAGGCATGCACAGAGAAAACAGAACACATACTGAGTAATCAGCAGGAGAGTTACTTTCAGGTAAGAAGGTTAAGAAGATGCTCAGGATTTTAAGTACAAGAGGTGCCACCATGTTCATCCAGGCTCACCTCTAGTATCTGCCTGTTCTCTCATTCTTGGTGCCACTGGCAAACTGAGAAAATCCCTATTTTTAAGAGCCTGGAAAAATGTCTTTATGTGACCAAGGTTAGAGCTAGACCACTACAGAAAAAAGGGACAAAGAGTGTTCCTTGAACCTGAAGCCAAGCTGCCCAGTCAGGCTCCACCCATGCTGCAGAGCAGTAGGCCCCGAATCTCCTCCAGGCCGCACGCAGTAACCCTGTGGCCCTAATACATGATTATTTGGGGACAGAGGAAAGGGTTTTGGTTCAAAATATCCAAGATAATGTAAAGGCTGTGCTAAAGCCCATTGAAGTGGTATTTTTACAGCCTGAGACCGCGCTGCGCGCTCTGGGATGTAGCCTGAAGGCACAATGCTATTAGCACAGCATGGGACGGTCATTTAGCACAGGGGAGTCAGGTGCGGTGACCCTTTGTCCATCCTGCCGACTGGGAATGGATCCTGGTGCATGCAACCCTCTCAGCCATGCCCCAGCACTGTCTTCAGAGAACTCAAGCTGGCAGAGGCCACAGTTGTACCAGAGACACCAAGCAGCAGAGGCGCCTGGCAGTTCAGAGTCCACGGGTGCTTCCTGGCCCTCTTCCATTTAGTGGCACAGCAACCCGAGGGGTTTGCTCCTTCACGTCCCTTCAGGATACGGGCAATGGAACGGGGAACAGATCCACGGTCCTCCAACAGCAAAGTGCTGGGTGACGCTCTCCTTCCCCTGGTAAGCTCGAAGACCAAGTTGAAGTTCACCCTAGAGCCTCACAGGCCAAACCAAGCTGGACGACGGCTTTCCCATCTACCTGGCAGCACGTTACGCAGCTGCAGAGCAGCCTGGAACAGAGACAAACTCCAGGGCAGCTTGGGAACAGAGACAAACTCTGTGAGTAATCATCACTCGGCTGGTTCCCCACAGGTCTAGAGGCTTTGCCAAGTCTCTACCAGGCTCTTTGTTGCTTCCCCAGCACAGATGATGATGGCCAGTGAAGAAGAGGGTGGAGTTGATCCTCTTTATCCACAGATGTCAACAGATTGTACTTCTGCACAGAAGTTCATGAGTGACTATGGGCTAAGAAGAACCTGAACTGTGTTCTGCAGAAGCATGCAGGAAGGCAGGCTGGCTGCAGCCGTGTATGAGCACTTTGGAGAATATGTTATCTACTACGAGCCTTTGTTCCATGGAAGGCAAACATATTTGTGGAAATGCCAAGAAAAACCCCAGGTGTTTTACTTACCTTTTACAAATCTATGCTATTAAACAAATCCATTCAAAGTGAATGGGGAAACAATAGAAACCTCATATGGACTTATTCCAAAATACATCCTTGGTTTTCAGTATTATTATGAAATGACCCTCTCGAGGACAACAAAACTACATCAGCATCCAAAAATCATGGTTAAGCACCACTAGAACTGAAAGAGCAGCAGGTTTGTCTTTTGTAAGGACATGCAACAACTGAAGAAAAATATAGTAGGAGTTGAAGTCTTGAAAAGATTCTTGTGTAACGATGTTAAATTGTGTACATTTACGTGATGTTAAATTCTGTACATTTACGTATTCAGACAGAATCAAAAATAGTATAAATAGGACTTAGAAAGAAAAAGCTACTGAGATTACAGTATACAAGGAAAGAGAAAGTGTAGAGGCCAAAAAGCAAGTAAATAAAATCCCCAAAACCTGAACTTCTGTTTAAATTGGTCTCCTTAAAAAATACCTACCAAAAAATTCTGGTTATTCATTTAACTTCCATCTATATTTGAGAGCCTTTGTATTTGTATTTCAGCTAAATCCCAAGAAGAAAATTTATTAATGAAGTGCAACATCAATACTAACCTGAAACCATTTTTAGTTTTTATGAAACTGTGTATTGGTTGCAAGTTCCTTTAATCATTTAACGGCAAATGTCTGTGCTCCACAAATCAAGGGCAATCTGCTGTCATGCCACAGATAAGTCCTATGCAAATATTTTTTAAAATATACTGTAATTTTGAATATATATATAAAAAATATAGTGTATGAACACACAGTCAACAGTGAAAGTATTATTATCACAGGCCAGAAGATTGCAATTAGTGGACCTCAGGAAGAATATTGTTTCTCTACTTTTCCATGTAAAAAGCAAACAGTGCTCAGCACCCAGGTCCATTCCCAGCTCTTTAAGAAGAAATGCAAAAGCTTCTAGTTTTACAGTTAAAAAGGTTCTACAGGAAGGACAGCCAGGCTCCAACGCAGGAAAGCAGGCAGCAACCACCTTCACTCTGCCCTGCCAAATAACCCCATTCACAAACTCGAGCTTCACCATATTAGGAGCTACAATACAGATTCTGACTGTGGGCGAGTCCTCATCTGAAGAGACTGTCAGCCGTTTAGGTGACAGATTTCTGTTGTTTACATATCTGCATGTGCACCATCCTCATCTGAGAAGATGGCCACCGTTTTAGGGATGACTTCTGTTGCCGTTCTGTCTTCATGTGATTTCTCTGACTCCTCCCTGTCCCCAAAACCTGCTTCTACAACAGTGCAAATACACCCACCAGGCTCAAGAAGATCAGCTCAGCAAAAGCTATTGGTGTTCACCAGCTCAGAGGACACAGATGCACACTTCTTCTCTGATACAGTCAGGATGAAGACTACTAATTTATTTTACTATGACCCTTACCTTCAGAGGCCTCTGACAGCCACAGGATTTAGGAACTGCATCTACATCGCTCTCCTGTGACTGGCACTATCAGCACAGAGAAGCTCTTGATGGCTTTGGGAACAGCTCAATTTGGCAACTCCAGATTTGGAAGAAAAGGCCACGTTCTTCCCAAAGCCCTGTACACACAGTCCTTGGGGGATTTCCTGCTCCGAGATTAAGACTTTTGGAAAGCCTAATTCAACACCCAGCTCTGTGCTGCACTTTATTTCCCCACTTCTTCATTAACCACATGCGTGCAACACAAACATAGTGGATCCAATAACACTGGAAAAGCTCCCATTCCCCAACATTAGTAACTACAGAGGAGTCATGTTTGAGGACCCTGAGGCTTGGGAAGTCTCTAAACTACTCATTTCTAGAAAGCTGGGAAAAAATTACCTTTAAATTTCCCTTTTATGTTTTCCTCAGCTTCAATTTAGACCTCCTATGGAAGAACTGTTTGAGTTTGTCCAACCTCATTCTGAAAAGCTTTGGACTGAACCAATTTGGACTGTAATTATCATACTAAATCTCAGTCTACCTCAAAGCACCTGCTGAAACATGTACAAAGATTTGATGAGCACTCTGCAGAACACTGGAGTTGTCTGGAGACAGAAACACTTTTGTGCTCAACACATACATACATTTCAAAGCAAACATAAGACACTTGTCAGGTGTGGTTTCAAAACTCTGGATGCCCACAAGGTATGAAGTCTGCTGAAGTTGGAAGAGGACCAGCATTCAAGGTTACCTCCTCCTGCCTGCCACCAGCTAACTGGGACCACCTCCAGGCCCCTGCAGTCCCCATAACTGTCACTTCTACCTCTTCCAACTTCAGCAGCGGCTGCGTGGGCTGCAGACCTAGCTGTGCCTGAGAACCAAGTTTGCCCAAGCCATCTACCCTTCCCATAGCAGAGCACGACAGAGGACACAGATATACACCTTAACTACAAAACGCCTCCTTTCACAAGGAGTTTGATTCTGATGCAGGTGAAGGCTTGCTTGACCCTGACATTCCTGAGCATCTGCAGCCAAAGCTGCACCCTGGACGTGGAAATAATCACCATCACTAGAAAGAACGAAGTGCCAGATCTCTGTGTGGCTGCAAGGACTGATCACCAGTTCCCAGCGACCACCTTCAGAGCTCCAAAGCCACAACTACACCTCTGTGAAGTCATCAAATCTTTCAACAGGCGTTTGTGTAATGCTGCATCTTCCTCCTCTCATTCCTCCTGATTGGCAAGGTCCAACAGCTCCACAGAAGACAGAAGTAGATGAAGTAGTTGTGACAAACCCAATCTGAAAGAGGCTGAACCACCCTGACCTATGACAGGGAGGACTAAGGCATGTAGTGAAAACGCAGAATCAAAATTCAGAGTAAACCATCCTGAAGTTCTCTCAAGTTTAAAATCTGCCAAGATTCAGAGCTTGCGAGACACCCTGCTGATTACAGACCCACCCACCTGTCTCAACTCAGCCCGTTTACATGGAGTGATCCATGCCTGCTTTCACAGCTTGCAGTTTCCACAGCCAGAGAAAGAATAATAAAAGTTAAAAATTTTGCTGGTTTATGTACGAAAAAATGCTCTGATTACCTCCTTCCATTTGATACATGTCACAAAGCAGCGAAGGAGAATTTTGGGTCACATTAAAAGGAAATATTTACAGAATAGATTTTTTCCTTCTTAGGAAAATTAGGGCTCACATTACAAGATTAATAAACTTATATCAATCCCAAAAGAAACTTCAAAATTCCTTTTCTCTTACAAAATGGATTTTACATGACCCAATTTAGAAAACAGCCATGATTAAAAGCAGAATGCAATTTATTGTTCTTCACATTTCCCCCATATGCCTGTGAGTTTGAGACTGAACTGGTGTTACTGAACGCAGAGCACTAAGACTGCTCCTATACATCCTGCTCAGGTACAACTGGCAATTTTAAAGATTTAATTCACTGACACAGGTAACAATTCCCTAGCTCCTTGATATTTAACTTAAAATATCCTCATCACTGAGCTTCATTGTATCAACCTTTTTTGTTGTTGAGGGTTTTATGGGAAGGAACAACACCTCCCAGCTTCATTCTTCTCATGGTTTGGCTGTCCCGCTGTCCCACTCTGAAGCTCATCAGCAGTCACTAAACGCTGCCAATTCTGATGTTTTCTGCCACAGAAAATATTGCAATGACATCAACTTCTGTCCACCACTGGGCTTTGTGGAAGAGAGGATTTCTGTTGAATTACACAGTGGTTCCCCAAAGCAGCAGCATCGGGCTAATATCAAGAGACTATCGCACACTATTCAATTTTTCACTGAATCTATTTTCATAGCTATCTGACTATTTTTCTTCAATATGGCTCCCTGAATTCAACTAAGTCAACTACCAAGTATGCCAGGCGCCCACCCCAGCACACAGACCACACAGGAAAAAGAACATAAAACTACAAGGCCAGGACTGAGGACTTCTACCCTGAGTGCTTCCAGCTCAGTTCTCCACACTACCTAAAACGCCACGAAGCGCACGGGATTTGCAGAATCACAACTTCAGTTAAAGTTGTGTGAACGGTGATTGGTGAGAAACCAGTGTTTAAGAATGGCCCGTGATCCAAAAAGCTTGGGAAGCACCAGTGTAATTAGCAAGCTGTGGGCATGTGTGCAGGCTTGCCTAGTCTATAGTTATTTCTATCAGCAGCATGAAAATCATCTGTCCAACAGATCAGAGCATCGTTGGTTCCAAGCCTGCAGAAGATACATGTGAAGAAGTGGCTATTTGTATAAAATGAGCATATTGTGGAGTAATTATTGGCATTGGGGAAACCTTGTAATTAGAAACAAGTGGGCGTTCTTTGTTTGTAAACAAATTGCATTTTGGTTCATCAGAGATGCTCCTTTAAGAACAAATTACAGCAGATGCTGCTTGTGTTTCCAGTGATTGAAAGGCCCCACCTGAATAAGCTACAAAAGGGTCACAACTGTATTTAACCCAGCCCTTTCCTGGACAGGAATTCTGTTGGCAGGGGCTGCAACCACGCTCACAGAGCACAGTGCCTGGGGGGGCTGCTAATCAATTACACAACCTTCTCCTGGAGGTCCCCTTGCAGGCGCCGAGTTCAGGAGGGGTGTGCAGCTGCTGCCGCCCTGTGCAAGGCTGGCCATGTTCCTGACTGCAACTGCTCCCGGTTCCTCATGTCACTGCTCAGTCAAATCCTCTGGTAGTACAAATCATGGATTTGCATTACAAGACACCTCAACAGGATTTTCCATCAAAAATAGCAATGGAAATAGCCTACAGCGATGACAAAAATCCTTGCTACAAGTATCCACGTACTGGTGAAACCCATTTTCCTGCTATGTGCACGCACATACACACAGACTAAACAAACATCAGAAAGCAAACTGGAATCCTCTCCTTGCACCTCACATGAAAGACTTCCTATTTGGGGCCCATTCATGGTGGAAGGTTCAGGACAGGAGATCAGGGGCAGAGCCACAATATTATTTGTTTTTAAAATGTCTGGGTTGTTTTTAAACTGATGGTTATCTTTGTACGAAGGTCAACATCCTTTTCGGATCTTGTTCTATTTTCTGTTTGTTAGCCACTAAGATGGCTGGGTTTTTTGGTTGGGTTTTTTTTCTTTTCTTCTGTTTTTAAATCAAGGGTTACTTTCTAAATAACACAGCACAGCAAAAAACCAAAACAAAACAAAAGGAGGAAATAGGAAAAGTAGATTAAGCATGGTATGAACTCCACCACAAACGTGGTACAAACACCACCACCTACTGTCCAAAGCAGGATGCTAAATCCCTGGCACAAATTTAAACAAAAATTCAGAAAATGGACAGCAGCCTGAACTGGGACAGAGGATGAAAGCACTCAGTGCAGAGCAGCCTATAACCCACAGCAGCCATCGCTTTCGTTATGACTGAAGGCAGGGTTAACTTGCTTTGTCCCAGGCTATAGTTTTGCATTAATGGCAGCCACCATATTCTGAAGCTCAACCTTCTGACCACCAAAGCTGCTTCCTATCACTATTTGCAGTGTCAACTCACATCAAAAGTTAAAATGAAAATGAGTAAGTCAACTTTGCTGCATCTCGGTGGATGATCATTTTGAATGGATTAGAATCAAAACTACAATTCTGTCTGAAATACCTTCCTCAACTTTAAATGAAGGAAAATGGCTGGCAGGTGGGCATGCAATAGCCCTTTGTGCAGTACCATCTTCAGTTGTTTTTCAATGATGGCGATATGGGTATTTCATACAGCAGCATAGAAACAGTCACTTTCAAGTCACCTGTCTTGAAGATTGTTCCTTTTCATAGACATGCCTCTGCATAGCACAATTATTAACTTCTTTGTGAAGCCTTTAACAGATTTTTTTTTCCTTTTTTTTTTTTTTTTTTTTCTCTCTTGTATTCCTGAGGGCACGAGTGCAACTATTAAGCAACAGTCTCACCTTTGCTTAGGATCTTTCTTGAGCAAGCCTGACAAGAGAGATTTTGCTTCAGGTGACAAAGTGCGTGGAAATCTAATCTCTTCCATAAGGATGAGTTCAAAGAGCTTTTCGTGGTCCTGATTGTAGAAAGGCAGCCGGCCACACATCATTTCATACATCACAACTCCTAAACCCCACCAGTCCACTGCACGACCATAGTCATTATCTTCCAGCACCTGCAGAAATGTAAGAAAAAGGCTTTAGAAGACATTCCCAAACCAGGCATGAACACAGAGCTTGAGAGGCAAAATTTACCCCAGCAAGTTCATCTTTTCACGTTACAGACAAATCTACCAGCAGAGTATCTGCCGAAGATCCTTTTGAAAAGAGCTGGCATCCACATTCACCATGCTAGGTGAGCAGAAGGGGGAAAAGGAGGCAGCGGGTACGTTACAGCAGCTTCCTTCTCTTCTTCCTCCCACCTCTCTCACATTATGGTCATGATAAGCACAACCTTTCAAAGTCCAAAGGCTGAGAACTGTTCTCACATTACAGAGCCAGCTGTTACATTCCCACTTACTCATCACAAACTGTTCCAAATGGGATACAATTATTTAGAAAACCCCCAAACCACCAAGAACCAGTACAGGGAGAAAAGACCATCAACTTGCTACTTCACAAGCAACAGCTAAACATCCCCATCATCAACCTGCACCCCCCAAAGGGTGGCTCTGCACATCCTGGAAGACCACCCACAAATACTAAACGACTAATCTACATTCAACACTAAGAGCCAGAACACCACTCCTAGCATTTGACCAGCTGTAAAGCTGTAAATGGCAGCCAAACTATCTGGAAATGTTTCTCCTCCTCCCCTCTGCCCCTCTCCAAAAGCACTTGCTTACTAGCTCTAACAGTCCTGCTTAGAGGGCTGCAAACTTAGGAATTGTCACTGGGGTGGACTTCTGCCAGGTCTCACAGCGGGAGGAGTCTAGCACAGTTCATTTTTCCCTTCCTCTGGGCACCTCTACCTAAAGCCCTGGCTGGTGCAGGGACTCAGGACCCCAGCAGCACCCTTCATCTCTCCTGCTTGCTCTGGAGAAGCCCTGTCATCGCACATTTCTGATCTTCTGCACTGTAGCTGCTGAAGGGAGCGGGGAGTGTTTTGTGGCTTGTGGAGTGGATGTTACGAGGACTTCTCTAGACTTTGTGTCTCCTAAGCAGTTGTCTGTAGCTGACGCCAACAGTCTCATGTTCCAGACTGTCCTCAGGTTTTAGTTGTCATCTTTACTCTTTTCATGGGTGTGCACTGAACTGCTTACTCTTGCTAAGAGTACAAACCATGACCGCACAACCACGGTGTTTTCTTGTTGCATGGTGTCTGTGTGAGCTTTACATCTACAATTCAGAATACTTTACACTCAAAAGGGTGAAAGAGCCAAATGAAGTCAATGCAAGTTTAACAAAAGCAGAATCTGAACCTCTTACAAACCTTGATAAAGGTTTTGCACACAAAAAAGAAGCATCGAGACACTCCACATAACAACTGTTTGCACTCTGCCTCTCTTTGTTCACTAATTATTCCCCTTAATTATCTGAACGAAGGAAAGGGCCTGCAGTAAAAATCAAAAGGCTGCCAGGTATTAGATTACCCCACGTTGGTCTATTTACAGCATCCCCTGCCGTATGATTCACACCAAACGACAGCTGGCTGTGCAGCTGCCCCGTACATGTACACGGCCGACACAGCTGCCGGCCGGACAGGATTCCAGGAGCCAGCCTCGTCCTTCCCGAGGCATCGTGGCCCTTCAGCTCACAGGAGATATTGTGTGACAATGCAGTTACCGCTCTCTGAGTCACCCCGTTCAACAAGCGCTTCCTGTTCGCACTCCCCTACACTTGGGTTACCTAAAATAAAACCGTCATGGGGCATCCAATTTTTATCTTTTAAACTGCTGCAAGAGATGCAATAGGAGAGATTGAAAGAAAAGGAAAACCACAAAGGCTTTTGTTGTGTATGTAATAAATGCTACAGGTTCTCCCAAAATGCAGCAAATAATTCAAGTGTCTCTCTAGTAAGCATATTAATACTCTGTATTATAATCTACAACTCTTTCCTTCACCTCCATTAATCCTAAACAGAATACAAAATGCTTATTTCTTCAAAGTTCTTTATCACAATGAGCATACACTCCTATTAGTGATTGCACAAAACAGAGTAATGGTGTTAGTAAGAAAAACACACCATAACAAAAAGGTATTGCATTCATCCATGATGTATTGCAACACGCAGGATAGCTGGGGAGCGGTAAAGTAACAAGGTCATTTCACTTAAATTAAAGGATCATCATTTCCTAACGAACAGCTCTAGACTGCTGTGAGATGGAATTTGAAAGAGAGGGCAGAACAGCTGTAAACATCACAGTCATCAATGCATCTGACACATCAAAGTTGACATGGTTCAGTCACTGTCACCCATGCACGAGATTCCAGTATGAACCTAAAAACAACGATGCAACAACTGTACAAACACGCTGCGATGCTGAACTCAAGTTACAAATGCAGACAAGAAGATTGAGACCCCTGCTTTTAAGGATGTATGACCTTAAACGCATGGAATATCGCTCGTGCACGATTTCCAGATTTTTTGCATGTTACCGACCAGATGACAAAAGCCTTCAGAATTTAACACTCTAACTCACACATGGGATTTGCAAGTAAGGGAGAGAGCTGGGTTAATCAAAAGGATTTGTCCTTCAGGGTTTTGGATGAGCCAACTCATCATAAATATTAAAAAGAAAAATAATAGCAAATAATATAACAGAAAGAACAACATAATCCCCGCATTCCAAGTTAGGAGTGAAACACAACCAAAACAATAAATATTTTTAGTCTCCTCATAAAATCCTTGATGAGAAACTGAAGTTCAGCAATTGATTTTAAGAGGGAAGCTAAAATAAAAGCCATGTTTATGAATAATAAACACTCTGTCGTGCTGCTAATTACTCCCTGCATCAGTAGATCTCAAATCATGGTGCATAGAACCCAATTTAGATTCATTGAAGGCTTCTGGCGATCCATGGAGAGCTGGCAGCTACCGTGAGACTGACTTCACCTCCTTGCTGCAAGCCACTTTGACAGGTGCCCGCATTCTTCATTATTACGAAGAGACTGGAGGCCCTTGAAAGCAGCTGGGAGTTAAAATAAAATTTAAAACCCCCCAAACAAACAAAACCCAAGAGCACGCTGCCACTGCTACGCAAGCAGAGAGCCCAAAAGCGCTGATCAGCAAAGACATCAGCTCTCAGTAGGAATATTCCTCGTCCACACTTCGTACTCCTGCATACTTCAACTCCAGAAAGGTTTGCAATGCCCAAGTCTCCCATCTCGGGGAGAAGGCTACCCCTGGCTGTGCCAACAATATGTAATCTGCCAGCAGCCCAAAACTTGCTTCTGCCTGTGCTCCAAGCTGCCTGGAAGTCTTAACGCCATGGGGAGCAAAGCACCCACTGAAAGGCAATGTTAGCTCCGGCTCGGTGCCCTACTAATACAGGGAGTCTGCTTCCAGACGGCTCGGAGCGTGGGCAGAGAAAACTAGTGTCTGCTTGCAAAATGCCATGTATACATATATCCTCTATCACACAATTTCACTTGTGTGATCTGCCTGTCACTAACTCACAGCTATAACACCACCTGTGTTGCACAACTCTCAGAAGGAGCATTTCCAGGATGAAAGCTGCAAGCACACATTCGAGTTTTACACTTAAAAAAAAAAGTCAAAAAAAAAAAAATCACCAAAACACACAAGTTTGGGGACTGAGATCCCCTGCTTGGATCTATTTCCTCTGAAACTGAAAAGTTCAAATTAACATTGAGAAACTTCTCGTGCTCTTACAGTCACAAAACAGTCAGCACTTTTAATGCACACCGTGCTAAATACTGCAGAAAAAGCTTGGTCTGTCCTGTTTCTGAAGACATGTTGCCTTATACTGTCTTCAAAGAATAAAAAAACTGGACAATACTTTTACTTCTTAAGTGAAGTCCTGTTGAGTGCTTTCAAGAAGGCTAACACACAGCAAACAAACTGCAAAACAGTCACCAATCCATCACGTAGTATTTGAAGGGATTTAAAAGGTGGGGTTTTTTAAGTTCTGACACAAGAAGCAAGCACTGTTCCAGTAAAATGTAAATATTCCCTAAAGTGGAAGGAAGATACTACCCTGCCCCAAAATTATCACATATCGTTATGCTAAAGATAGGTCCCAGAACATGACGAATAAAAGACTCTCAGTACTTGCTGTTATATAACAGCAGTTACTGTATGAACACATTATGGCACAGGAACTATTCTGTATCACCACTGTTATCACAGATGGCATTTAAGATGATAATTTAGTACAATAGCCAACATAAACATACCTCTGGTGCAAGATATTCTGGAGTGCCACAGAAAGTCTTCATTGTTGCTCCATCCTTGATGCCTTCTTTACATAGTCCAAAGTCTGTTATTTTTATGTGTCCATCTTTATCCAGCATAAGATTTTCCAACTGAGGAGAAAATTCAAACGAAAGACATTATTAGATATAACATACACCGCTTCTCAGTAAGTCAATGAAAGACATGAATTTCTGCAGATCAGTTTTCAACCTCGTTCTCACTGGGGTGAGAAACCATAGTAGCTGCCAAAGCATGCATGATGTAAATATACATTTATATCACTTTCCTTAGTACTTTAGGGAACATTAGGTAACTAATTTGCAGTCTTTGTGTAACTGTTCATATATACAGAAAGAATGCAGAACGTAGACACTGCATTTATGCTTCTACAATATTATCACCAACAGAACATCAGTTCTTTTAAAAATATATTAAGAATTCCTCCTCACACAACTTCATCCCTGCTTTTACTCTTAAGCGATTTTATGAAATACTCTGCACCAGTAATAGATAACAAATGAAATGAAAACCAAATGCAAGGCTAAGGAACCACTTCCAGAGAGACCCTTTACATGAGAATCACTTTATACATTTACTCAGCACGTGGTATTCATCCTAGCCTGCACCACTAATTTTTGAGAAAGCCATCCGGATTTCAGGACCGAATTTCCGCTGTGTATGAAATAAATCACCATGATTCCTTTG